CAGCGCTATATAATGCACTTCACTGTTCGCGCGTAATGCAAAGTCTCGATCTGGGCTCGTTCTTTAATTACAGAAGGGTTAGGATGAAGATGTTATCAGACTCTCTCGCCATAATCAGGACATAATATTTCGCCTTTAAACAAGCGTGGTAGGCCAAAACATCCCTGATATCACCCAGAATATATGATTTATATTTATAATCCAACGTATTAGCAGCTGATAGTCGCCCTGTAATCACTTGTTGCATTTAAGTTGCAAAAATGATAATGGTGATTTTGAAATGTTAATTTTTACGTAGTGATTACTCAGTATTAAGAAGCCCACTAGTCTCGGCTCAAAGCCAATTTATCCCACTATCAACACAAGTCCTACGATATGAGCTGCGATGAATGTTCTTATTCACTGCTACCACAATTCTCCATTCTGCAGTTGTAGGACACTTAAATGGAGGATTATATGAATTTGAGCCATATATAGCCACTTGCATCCAGTCCAGCCAAATGTTTTGATCTCGTCTTCGATCTGCTACGACCTAATCGATAACCACTCGGACTGAACGAGCCTACATTGTCGTGCACCATCTCACCTCTCCATCACTCTAACACTCCACATCATCCGCTAGCTTATCTGACATGCTATAGGCCCTTCCCGTATGAAGTATACTTCCAGGACGTGCCTAAGGCTACACTTCAAACCTAATGGGGTGCGAGGTTTCTTATCACTCGGGTCAGAGGGCGAACAAAAAGTGGGCGGTCAGTGCGGAAACGCGCGCCAAAACCATGCATAAATAGCTGACTCGGCTACTTGGCATCAACTGATTGATTCATCTGTACTCTATACGTCATCGTCTATTCCTGTTATTGTCTTGGCAGTGCTCAGTAAATGCTGTTGCTATCTATTCTATTGATATCACAGCATCTTACTGAGCTCAGCTGGATAGTTTCGTTCTAGGTCCGAGATTTGTCACTACTTGATGGTAGGTCTATTTTATTGCCTTGCGTACATTTCTGGGTTCGCATCGTAGTCATAGCTTGAAGTCATATGACTAGAGCCGAACTCGGAAATGAACCATTTAGGTATTTTTACCAGCCTGTTCTTGTCCGAAAATGTCGCGGGGTACGTCTCATAGTCGTAACAAAAGGTATATGACTAGATACGGACTCGGTAACATACCGGACACCATGTATGATAAAATTTGCAGCTACTAGTGAGGAGTCACTTGTTTTGCATGTGTATTTGCTCAGTAGGGAAATTAAATGGAGGAACTCTGATCTTTTAGTGATAAGAAAGTTGGGTTCATTATCTCAAGCAGTATGTAGTATAACTGTATATATTTGTAGAAAACTTTATCGTTTCGTCAAAATGTCACCTGGTTTGGGTGTACTGAAGGAGATTAAGCAAGAAATTCAATGTTCGTTTTCCACAACATTTGTTGCGAGTCTACGATCAATATCCTTCTTTACAGTTGTACTGCTCCCTTAGCCTATTTGGAATGGAAGCAGCACCTACTGTTGAGGAGTGCTATGATTTATCATGGACCACTCCTTATTTACTCTCTGGATATTAGATGAGAAGATGTTGGAAAAGAATTTTCCTAATTCTTTATGCACATTTCAGGAGTGCATCTTGTGTGTGCAATGCAGGGCATCCACTAACCGTCCTGTATTTATTTCATAAGTAAAATTTTGACATTAAGTGTCGAGCATGCTAATTTATGGTCTTACAGTTCGC